ATCATCACTATCATCATCATCATCATCATCATCATCATCATCATCGTCATCATAATCATACCCATTGCTACCGGTATTGTTTTTCCAACTAATACGAAGCAATTGCTAAATTAGCCACGTCGTACGCCTACTTACTTCGTAGTTCTTTTATACAATTTTTTTGTAGCTGTTTCAAAAAGGAAGTGAATAACGGTTGATTTGAATTATCACTTAGGGACATGAACGTATGCAGGGTGTGATGTTGTTTATTATTAAGGTACTATGGTAACACGTAGACCCTACTAGAAGTCAATTGAAAAGGGTTGGTATTTGCATTCATCATTATTAGTTTTAATTTTAGCTAAGTTACCTATGTAGTTTAACGACCCCCTGGCGTCGGGTGGAGGTGTTTCCCCCACGAAATTGAATATCACAGGGGAGATGAACGTATGAGGAGTTTGATGGTGTTTATCATGATGGTACTATGGTAACACATACTAAACGTCAATTGTCCAGAATCGGGTATTTGGTACAACATAATTATTCTTATTTCTACTTAAGGTTACCTACTGTAGGTATTGCAACGACGATTCATAGGCACTATTACATAGACACAATGTGAGAGGGTATAGGCCTACAATATAATAAAAATAATACCCCCTAAAAATAAATAGACTCGCCGTGGACCTGTTTTGTTAATTGTGCTACAACAGGATTAAGATTAATAATACGCATAATACATAACGAAACCATTAAACTAAAGTTTGGACCACAAAGAGGAAAGACACACCAAGATGTAACTAGCAAAACTATAACAGAAGGAATACGCAACATGTGCAACGGAAACCAATAGTACAACGAAAAAATAATTATCGATCGTTATATTTGATTAAATTGACAGAAATAATTTAGGGGTTGTTACGTAAGTGACTGAAGGAGAGGATTTGTGAAATAGGCGCTTTTACTGGGTTATTGATAACATCTCATGAATTTATTGCCGTAGAAACACGCGGGGTTTGGTGATAAGACAGTGAGCGATACCAATACAGACACCAGCAATGCCTAAACAATATCGCACCGACAATGCCTGAGAAAACTACGTAAGGGTCTAATATATATTTTCTGAGATTATACGCATCTTCCAAGGATTATTTTCCTACATAATACCAAGGTTAGTGGCTTTATATGCCTAACATTCGTCAGCTGAGCATACTTCAATAACAGTTCACTGAAATGCTATCAACATTTGATATGATTGTTATATAATCTACAACATTCCTCGAACGAAGAACGCGTACCGGTAATCAATTTGTGCAGTCACATTGAGCAACAAAGCTTGTACTTGTACAAGGAAATATTGTTTAAGTGGTAATTTTATTTTTGCTTGAATTTAGCCGTACTAGTTAAACTATGATCAATAACAATATGAATTCATTGCATCACTAGCTTCAAATGATCGGACAAATATGATTGTTGTCTGCTATTGTTCCCCGCGCATATTTGGATCATAGATACGTCAGCCGGAACGTTTAGTTCTATCCGAGCTCCATGGAAACATAGACCAGTTGAGTTCGGTATTATTGTTTCTCTTGTAGAGTACATATCTTCAATAGAAAACCTAAGGTCGTAGTTTTCAACTATTAAAAGTAGGAAATCATGTAGCATCTTGATAGCCACGCAATCCCAACAAAATTGTTTACAATTTTAGACGATTTGTATTAAAAGCGATTTTAGGCTATATTTGACGAACTGCAGTTGGAATTTAAACTTATTAATTCACAGACATAGGTCTATTTAAGAACTACTGTATTTCTATCAACAAGATTTAAAATGAGTGGTGTTGCACCTAAAAAGATGAAAACGTTAAACCTAAAGACCCTTCACTCGGATGATATCGGACAGTTGAAAGAAACTCGAGCGTCTGAACTAGGCACAATTGTAAGATGTTATAACCATGCGTGTGCGGTTTCAGTAAAAAGAGACGTTGCACAGTGGTACAACGAACAAAACATGGCTGTTACCAAATTATCACGTGGACAACAAAAGGTTTACAAGAGTTTGTTAAAGTTCCACCAAATCAAGAAAGATATCAAACGGAAAGCGTATATAAAAAAGCAAGTAGAGCTTCAAGAACAACTCAGAGAACAAGCAGCATTGGAGAAGAAAGAAACAGAATTAAGAGAACTAGCAGAAAAGAAAAAGAATGCGGATAAAAAGAAAAAAGAACTTGCTCACAGAGAAATGAGAAAGGAGAAAAGTATTATGAGATCAAAATACCAGGTTTTACCAGGAATTGGGGAAGAGATCGAATTTGAAAATCCGAATGCGGCAAGCGGTACTGGAAGCCACAATCCTTTGTTGACAGAAAAATCTAACACACAAGTTACGTTTGACGATCAAAAAGAAGCAGTTATTCCCTCGACCAGAGAATCTTTACTGACAACAGAATTATCTGACCTAAGTGGTAGAGTCTCAAACCCAACATATTACATTAAACAACCATACAGGTATAACCAAAATAATCAGCACCGGTTTGTAGCACCTCCACAAGATACAAGCCGTGAACATTCTTTTACAGTTCCTGAAACATCCCTACAAAACAAAAAGCATGAAGATAATACTGAAAACAGATTAGTGGAATCTCTAGACAAGACTGCGGTTAAGGAAGGAAGCTTCGTTGGTGTCATTGGAAAAACCGAGAAATTGGCAATTCAAGAACAACTTACATCTGATATATCCGCTATTGAGGCCGTTGATCAAGCAAATAACTTCGATTCATTTTTTCGAAATAATTCTTTTGCTAGAATGGAAATGACTCTTCCACATTTTAGTCGCAAACGGGATATATCTTTACATAAAGAGGAACCCGACTTATTGCATTCTGGGTTTGGATCAAGGACTTCAAAATTTTCTGAGGAATCAAGTAATAAAACACCATTAAAAAATGCGTCTTCTCCCATTCAGGTGGTCAATTTAAACCCACACAAGGTGCTACCCAACATTACAAGCGCTGCAGTATTAAACAAAACTGAAAAATCAGACAATAGTCATGTTGCAAAAGCATCAAATACCAAAAATATTAAGGCAAAAAACAAGCTACGTTTGAAAAAACAAGCTCAACTTCTCGACGACATGAACAAATATCACGTAGGAATACTGAATAGGTCGTTTAAACTACCCAACTACAAAGTACCACAAATTGACCATGTTACAAAATATACAAAGAATAGTAAAGGCAGCCTAGTACCAAGTGAACAAACTGTGAAACCAGCCTCTGAGGAATTCAGATTGCCATCTAACAGGAAGGCATACCAGCTACGGAAGGCGTTGACAACTGAACGAGCAAACGAAGTTTACAGAGAAAGAAGACTTCAGGAGTTTTTCGACAAGATGGCCGATATGGGTAAGTTAAAGTCCTTTATTAGATTGGATATTTTTATAAGCCTCTGTATTGAATAATCACAATGAAGTAAACAGTACATAATTAGTACCGGTAGCATTCTTACATACATAGCATCATTATTATAGCGCCATTTCATGAAGATCAAAGGATTATATATACATATAGGCCTATATATATATATATATATATATATATGCACATACAACAAGTGCCTAACCAAAGGAGTTGTATATCAGACCACAGTCATACGCCAAGACGACAACAAAATAGAAACTTATGTCGGACTGACAGAAAACACTTTTAAGGGCAGATATAATGGACATAGTAGCTCATTCCGTAATGAAAAAAGCACGGCACGTAGTCAATACATTTGGAAACTTAAAGCCGATAATATAAAATATGAAATTAAGTGGAAAATATTAGGTAAATTCAAACCATACTCCAATATCAGTAAACGTTATCTGTGTTTGCTCGAGAAATATTTCATTATATGTAACCCTGAATTAAGCTCACTTAACCGTAGGAATTAATTGATTAGTGCATGTAGGCATAGAAGAAAATTTCTACTGCGGTACCAATATACATAGGCCTATACAACACAGAGCTTCTAATCACCTCTATGAATAATAATGAGTATACTAATTAACCTGTTTACCAATAAACTATATAACAATATAATCTCTACAGCAATTAACAGTTCCACCATGCATGATTGTTATTCTGCAGTCTCATTCAGAGCCTAGCACCTGATGATTGAGGAAGTACCTCATGAAACAGCCTATAGTGCAATAAAATGTTGAATTTGTAACCAAGCGTCATCTTGTTTTGATGTTATATTGCTCTGCTTATGTATCGAGCACTGCTGTCGTTCAATTTCGATGCACATGTATATGCCTAGTCACAGTAAAGCCTGGTTCTCACGAGAGCCCTAGTATCCGGATCGGGAGCCGGAGCTAACCGTTAGCGCTAACCACTTGCCTGAGAACGCCCGATCGGTTAGCGCTAACCGTTAGCAGTATCCGGATACCGCTAACGGTTAGCAATTGCGCTATCGGTTAGCAAGTTGAGCGCGTTTCATCATCAACCAATCACACGTACGCGTTTACAATTTCCAGTTTCTTATTGGCCAGCGATTCGATCATCATTTTTTTGGTATCCGGATTGGGATTTTCTCGTATGGACGCACGGCAGCTAACGGTTAGCAGGATCCGGATAGACTTATACTGCAAGAAATGTACCACATTTGAATATTATTATCTTAACAGCAGGCTGCCACCTTTATTAAAACAATGTCATTCAAATTATGTACCATTTAAAAAAAAAACAGCATAAGGGGCTAATCTGACGGTAGCCACTGTGTGTGCGCTGAAACGTGGAGATCTCTAGGTCCCCGGTTCAATTCCCATTGCTTCCTCTCCTTGTGTTTCAGCTAGAGGGCTGAAATACAAGTTACAATAGCACACCGTCTTTCGGATGAGACGTTTAAGCCGTTGGTCCAGTGTGCATTTATGGCCCATGTACACGATAAAGAACGCAGTTACACTCTTCGAAAAGGAGTATGGGATTATTGTCTCCTGGTGTACTGCTCAGTTACCATCAGAAGGACTCCCACTGGAAATAATTCTTCTTCTAGACTTTAGTGGGCTATCCTTGGTGTTTACACATAATAAATCTAATCCAATCAAACACAATTTAATGTGATTAGGTAATTAATATTATGATGTCAAATTATTTAACACATTCTCTGGTAAACACGTCGGAATCTAAACGCATTAGGCTAGACTAAGCACGTTTACCTTTTAACCGTGTCTACAAAAGCGGGACAAAATTGCGTTGATCTTATTTTTTAAATCCTTTACACTATATTTAAAAAACAAAATTATATGAACAATGGCAAGTTTATATATTTCTTAATTGTTAATATTTTTTCAGCTTTTTTTTTTCTTTTGTACCACTCAATTTGTTCGTCAGCTTTATTGCCTACATATGACCAGAAAACATTGTATAATTTGTTCCGACTCCGAATTCCTTCTTTACTGCTTGAATTCCTATTCACCTTGTTATGTATTTCCCCCTTGATAAGTTTAGGCTCGTCTTTCGATCAACGTTCCGTTATAACGCGTGTTTTTGTACTTCTTGTTTGTTTTAAAATGTTTGTTTGTTGTACTATCTGCGTTAAACAATGGGATATTATTCTCCATTAGATGTTTGCTCTTTAAGACAAATATTAGATAATTAATGTTTGTGTTTGCTAATCTGTTTTATTTTTCAGAGAGAGGTAATCAACCAACTCCTACACAATCAAAGAGAGTGAATAGTCGAATGGAACCATTTCGACATCACAAGTCGGAAGATTTTACCAATTCGATTTCCACGAGAAACAGCGTGTACGCCTACATACTTGGCACGGCCCAGGGAGATGTAACAGATGTAAAGAACTGTCGATACCTTCGCACAAAAGAAGAACAAATGTATTCAAGAACTGGAAAAGTTTCGAGTTGGGAATAAAATTGTGTAACCGCTTATGATGATATTGATCATTTTAGTGCTTTCGACAGTTATGTTATAATTTGTTCCTGATAGTGGTGATGATATTGATGATGATGATGATGATGATGATGATGATGATTATTATTATTATTATTATGATGATGATGATAATGATGTTGATAGTGATAATAATGGAGATCGCTTTAACATTGGTGCAATTATGCCATTAACAAAGTATCGATGGTGGAGATTGATACAAATGCTTACAATAGTGTGAAGATAGCTTATAATAATATCATAATTACAATAATGAACATGGGTGCTAAATAGCAATAGTAAGTATAGCGCCATCTGTGTATTTTAATAAAAAATCACACATTATCTATAAAACAATGAATAATGAATATTTTCTTCTCTTATTTATAAAGTATTGCGGGATTACGGTAAGAATGGCCCAGGTAAAAATGGTCCCGGTAAAAATGGCCCTGGTAAAAATGGCACAGGTAAAAGTGGCCCCAAATGACAGGTACGTAAAAATGGCCCCCAATAATAAAATTCTGTATTAAAACTGATTTTTTTTTAACTGAAATAATTTAGTTTTTAAAAAGAATCTAACATCAAATAAATTGTCATTTATATTTTACTTTTTGCAGGGATTACATATTCAAAGATAAAAAAATAAGCCATGGATAACACTTTTTTATAGCAACAATAAAAATCAACATAAATCATGTGTTTCTTAATACTAATATAATTTATTTGTGGCCAAATTCACAGAAACAGAATCAGAATTTTTCTAGAAATTCAACCCGGGTATTGCTAAACCTTGCAAAAAAAAAAAGGTTGATTATGAACATCAAAATATTTTTTTTAAAGAAAATGAGAGTTTGGATGGGGTTCGCAGTGTGTTTTTGGAGGTTTGTGGTGTATTTGCAAGTATTTTTTTCACCAAAAAAAAATCAGCATTTTAACCAAAAAATAGGTTCTTATGAATGTATTACATTTTATTGTTGATATAAGAAGTGAATCAATTATAATTGAATTTTTCGGTTATTTACAGAGTGTTTTGGGAGGTATTTAGCAATAAAATTTAATCCTACCATAATTACTTAGCCCGGCCCTAACCAGCCGCCCATACAAAAAATATATATTAATTAATCAATCAGCAGTTTACTCAGAGCTCTCCATAGGAGCTAAAAACTAAATTATTTTAGTTTTCAAATATGCATATGGTTTACATTGATTCAATTTAGGCCACAGGGTATTTAACAAATATATATATATATAGTTTTTATTGAATTTTATATTAGGGGGCCATTTTTTATTCACTGATTTAATTCTTGCCATTTTACAGTATATAATTATTTTAAGATAAAAAAAAAAAACATTTCTATTACTGATTTTTTTTTCATTAGGGCCATTTTTAACTACTTGTCATTTTGGGCTATTTTTACCGGGGCCATTTTGACCGAGGCCATTTTCACCGAAGCCATTTTCCTACATTTGTCGTGCGGCTACCCAGCAAATACAAAGCGTTAGGTCGGGCACTCACAGCGTTCCTTATCTCTAAAGTATTTTGTTTTGTTTTGTAGCCCTCATCATTCTCTGTTTTTTTTTTGTTTTTTTTTTTTGTTGTTTTTTGTTTGGGTAGGATTTTGTACCTCAAACTTGTATTATTCTGTATTATCAAACTTTTGAGAAATGTACTTTTAAACTTGAAATAATAGAGAACGTAAAGACAGGATCATTTTTAATGACGATCGGTTTAGACTGTTATAGACAAATAGCAGGCTTTGCGTCGTCTAGCGCTCACAGAGAACGGATTTGTATTCGTCGTATGACGCAATAACTGCCTGGTTTTAGGCCTAATATTTGCAAACATTGAACAAGTTGTGGTTATTTTATGTCAGAAATTAACTATACCATAACTTTGCAGCAATGTTTCCTACGTTATTTTGTCTTAAATCACGTTATAAATACGTTAAATAAATACATACTACGGTTATACAAAGAATAATTAAAAATAAATACCCCTTCAAATTAATAAAAATGGCTTTAAAAGTAGTCTTTAATCATTGAAATGAGACCTGTAGCAAACTACAACGCTATAACAATGTTAAATGGTAGGTAGGTACCTGCTCAGTGCAAGCCTAATTCGAATCGTTGGTATTGTACACAATTCGCTGCATTCCAATCACTGTGATTTAAAATGATAATCTAATGATATATCACGCAATGATATTGTTTCAACTAAAGTTAAAACACGCTATATCGTCATTGTGAACTGTATATGCCCAGTACGGATTCCTATTTTAGATATTTTCATCAATTTTGACGATTTTTAGCTCAATTGTACTAGAATTAGCTAAATATGCTTGTTTTGGTGGATTTTTTGCCGAAATTGGTTAAATCGTTGTATTTACACGACTTCTATGCTCTTGTATAACTTTTATAAAAATATAAACAAGCATACCTTTGGCAAAATTAGACCATTTTCTACATTACAAAGGATTGGTCTAATTTTACTTTTTGATGACGAACGATTGTTTTATGGATTTATTATTAAATCTATTCTGGAGCTAACTTAAATTACTTTTTGCAGTTTTTCATCTTTTTCATGTTGTGAAATTTTTAACGTCATCAGACTAGCATTTTGTGGTACTGTATTTAAAAAACTCTATAAAACAGCCGTTTTAATTTTTAAAACCCATGCAGATCGATTATGGATGCACAGTAGTATACCGATTGAATTTCCAATTTA